CTGTTGTTGCGGCAGCAGCAACCAGCTGTTAACACTCTTCATTGCTGGCGTGGTGACTGCTGTTCTGTAGCGGCTGTGTCTGTGGCAGCTGTGAGGTCTCTAACATGTTACAGTTGCTGTCGGTATTGGACATTTCCCCCTCCTCCTCTCTTTTCTATATCTATGTCCAATACCGACGGAACGTGCACCACCAGTAAAAAATCGCCTTTGCGCCAACGCGCTAGGCTTTTCCCCCGTAGGCAACCGCCGAAAACACCGAATTCCGAAATATATATGTCATATGTGGCAATATGTGGCAGCAAAAAAAGCCACCGGGACAGATTTAACTTGGCGTCCGCCAATCAGCTGCCTCCATTTAACTTGGCGCCTACTTGGCGTCTTCTTGTCTATTTGCGACAAATTTTGGCAATTACGCCGCTTTTCTTCTGGGCGCACCGCATTCATTCGAGCCAACCAATTCATTCAGAGACTGACATACACATACATCAGGCCGGAGCCTGGGCGCTGCAACTGACGCATACCAGACGCCAACAGCAGCAGAGACCACTACTGTGCGCACGCATCATGCACACACACACACGCGAATATATATATATATTTTTTTTCTTAATACATATGACACAACGAAACCATCTCTATCATAGAAAATAGTCTGAGACAGATTAGCGATGGATTCATAGCGTCAGAAAGTACCTGTATGCCTACGATTTCCCAGACAGCATATAGGGACATCTCCCCTGCGGGTAACAGGCTCAACAAGACAGTTTGGTAGCTGTCTTGTGTGTCTCACATATATGGGCAAAAAAAAAAAATCATCCATCCATTCCGACGCGTCGGTTTGTTGACAACCCGCATTCATTGCAGAATATATTATATGCACGGCGATTCTTTTGCTGCCCCAGTGACGGCACCTCTGCTCTGGTGTCTCCTTTCCTTCATCGATTCATTGAGTGAGGCGCAACATTTTGAAAGCCTTTGGCTCGCAGATGAATGGGTTTCGCCGTTTGTTTATTGGCAGGCTTCGCCCGCGTAATTAAACTCCCAAAAAAAGCTCTGTCCCGGTGTCCCGGTTTGCCGCCAAGAACGCGGCAATGGCACGCACAACAAAACTTCTGTTGATGCGTTGTGCGGCACAACGCATCAACAACAGAAGTTTTGTGTGTTGAAATGTTTCAAGGGTATGTTCTGTAGGGTCTGTAACTTTCTGTAGGGTATCCGAAGTTGTCACAGAACTCACAGAACTATCGGGTAGGTATTGGAAGTGTCACAGAACTCCACAGATAGATATAATCGGGTTTGTGAGAAGAAGGTCGTACAGAACCCACAGAACATTTCGGGTAGGTTCACAAATCTCTACAGACGTTTTCTGTACTGTACTGTCGTGTCACAGAACTCGCAGAAGTTTTCTGTAGGGTGTTGAAAGTGCAACAGATCTCACAGAAATATCCGGTATTGTAACGCAAGTGCCACAGAACTCAACAGAAAAAATCGGGTTTGTGCCAAGGTCGTACAGAACTCACAGAACCTCGCGGGTAGGTTATCAAATGCTCACAGAAGTTTTCTGTAGGGTATTGGAGCGTCGCCGAAGTCACATTTTCTGTAGGGTATTGTAGCATCACAGACGTCACAGAAGTGTCCGTAGGGTTTTCAAGTGTGACAGAACTCACAGACGCTTTCTGTAGGGTATTGCAAGTGTGACATAACTCGTCTGTAACGTTCTGTAGGGTATTGCAAGTGTCACAGAACAGAAAATAGGGGGTATTTAAGCATGTTTGTTGCTCAAATGAGAGAATACCCCAGGTATATACCACCCCCCCCCGGTCTCTCTGCATCCGGTTGTTCGCCCTGGTAACTCCACAAGGATGTGCTTGACGCGCCGAGAAGAGAGCGCCGGAAAAGGTGTGTCTTGGTCAATGAGCAACCCCGTGAGATCCCGCCAAGTTGTGCCAGATGAGAAAAAGCTGAAGGGCAAAAACTTTTCCACGGCCATCTTCACAGCCAGGAGCTGACGGACTCTGCCAAAGGGAACGAAATAGAAACAGAAATACAATACAATGTACCGTATCGGCACAGCATTGCAAAGGGGAGAACGGGACAAGCGTGAGATACCAACATCAGTCAGTTGGTTACTACGTGGTTCGCGCAGGTAAGGTTTCCTCACGGAGTATTACTGCAGTACAGCAGTCACACATACATACATGTATGTACACACACAACAAGCAGAGAAACCTGATGACGCACACACCTGTCCGTCCCAACACCCGAGTTCTTGTTCGCCGCGAAGTTTGCCGTGATGATGCTCTGCTTCGCTGCCTTTCTCTTCCCGTCCTTCACGACGCCACGCACCCCCTGCACTCCGTGCCCATTCTCGAGGTGCGAGTTGGCGTTGCTGCGGTCGCCGCCTTTGCAGGGGATCCTCTTGTTCTTGCGGCGGCACAAGGAGTCGGCCATGCAGAAAAACTGGTGCTTGTCGCTGCTCGACGCCTCGATGTACACTCACTCGTAGCGAATACATGTACGACTTCTCGCGGGACCCGTTCCTCATAAAGCCTGCTGGCACCGTGGAGTCATCGACTGCCTTCACCACAGCCGCGTCCACGGCATGCGGCTCCCCGTACTTGTTGTAGACGGCTGCGGGTGCGATTACGGGCACGCCTGCATCACCGCCTCCCGCGTCAACTATCTCTACCGCTCCCTCGCGTTCTGGTGGTGGTGGTGTTGTTGCTGCTGCTGCTGCTGCTGCTGCTGCTGCTGCTGCTGCTGCTGCTGCTGCTGCTGCCTCTGCCCGCGTGTTGACTCCTCCCGCAGCGATCGATGATCCGCTCGGAGGGTCCGCGGTGATGGTAGAGTTAGAGCTCATGTCCCTCTCCTCCACAGCGATATATCGCTGTATACAGATGCGTCGTGGTTGTTCACAATGATGTGTACGTGTGTGGTGCATGCTCACCATGATGACTTGTGTGCGAGAACCACGTGATTTGTACTTGTTCTTTTTCTGCAAATTGACAAGGTGCGCTTCAAGTTTGGTTGGTGGGCCTGACTCAGAACATAGAGCGTACGAGCGTACAGACATAGCCCGGTAGGTAGGGTATTGACAGCGTCACAGATCGAACAGAAGTTTCCGGTAGGGTATTGGAAGTGTCACAGATCTCACAGAAGCGTCCGGTAGGGTATTTGAAGTGTGACAGAACTCACAGAAGAATTATGTAGGGTATCGGAAGGGTTACAGAACCTCACAGAACGTTTCTGTAGGGTATCGGAAGTGCCACAGAACTTACAGAAATATCCGGTATTGTATCGCCAGTGCCACAGAACTCAACAGAAAAAATCGGGTTTGTGCGAAGGTCGTACAGATCTCACAGAACGTAGCGGGTAGGTTAACAAATGTGTACAGAGGTTTTCTGTAGGGTATTGAAGCGTCACAGAACTCATAGGCGTTTTCTGTAGGGTATTGGAAGTGCCACAGATCTCACAGAAGTATCCAGTAGGGTAGCGGAAGTACCACAGAACTCGTCTGTAACGTTCTGTAGGGTAAATACCCGGAAAAATACCGCCGGTACCTTCTGTGGGTACCCTACAGAACACACCCTTGAAATGTTTTCAGAGCAATAGCGGACAGGGAGAGAGGGAAGGCAGAATCGACAATCGACAGCTCTTCTCGGCCGTTGGG